AGGCCTATATTCTATTTATATGTTGCCCTAGAGCTTTAAGTCGCGGTGCCGCTGTACGGCAAATTCCGTGCGTCAGGCGAGACCGTGCGTCGGCTGATAAAATTTAGTACCCCGCCACGGCGCAAAGCCACCTCAATCGACATCACTGTCCACCTTCGCTCCCTCCCACACTCGAACCTTTCCTTCCGCTCACTTCAAGCCTCGATCTGACTTCAATGTGGCCTGTCTGTGCCCCTGCCTTCCATAATGGTGGTCATAGTTGACTTGGGTGACGACTCGTCTGCACATGCCTCCAATGCCTCTGGCTTCCCCTCGGTCAAGCCACTGCATCACAGTCTTGCGACAATAAGCAGAGACACGACGCAGTATCCCGGGGCAGAGGCCAACAGGCCCAATCCCAACATCAATGGATTTTCAGCCGCCCTGAGCTGTTATCCGTGAGCCTGAACCATAGCAAGGACTGGATCCGCGCGAAGACGGCGATGCTAACGAAATTAACGTTGCAGTATTGTTAGACAACTTGCGAGCCAGCTCGATCTCAATACCCTGCACGACCTCTCCAGAACATGTAGGCAGTTCCGCGCGAACTTACTCGAATACCGCGACCAACTTATCAAACACACGCTGCATTGCGCCAATGAAGACCCTGGCGTCGGCATACGCCTCGTGCAGGGACTAAGGCAGTCTCTAGAGACTTGGGAGCAGGAGACGCAGCTCCCGAGGCAATTGACCAGCGGAAGGGTTGGCAAATGTGCCCGGGATATGGTGGGCGAGTGCCAGCGTTGCGGTACCGTGGTTTGTCGGGTCAGTCTGGACGCCATACACATGGAATTTCAGTGCTGAGAATGAAGGCAGAACTGCACCATCAAGCCTCCCCCGACGCCCACCCTTCGCGTCCGTCACCGCCGGCTCTGCCGTACCTGCACTAAAGCTCCGTTGCACCTTCTGACCGCCCCAAAGCGTATTCGCACTATGTCTTCGAGTTCTCCCCCACTATCTCCAAGACCAGCCCCGACGCTCTTCGACGACCAACCCACACCAGCATTTACAGCCTCCGCCTTCGATCGAGCACCATGTTGCTGTGACACTATGGTTTGGCTATGCCAGCCTTGCGGCCAGAATCTCAGGAGTGCTGACACCATGTACATTCGGGCGTGGACATGGCGAACTCGTTATAGCCACTATCTCGGTGGTGTTGGCACTGGTGCTGGTGAAGGCAATGAGGGCGTCAATTGCGGCCGAGGTCCGGAGTGTCTTGCAGCTAAGACAGTGGAGCATGAGATGGATTGCGACGCGGAAACGCTAGCCATGATAGAGAGCAAAACCTCTGAAGATGGGAGATGGAAAGGAACTAGCTACCACGCCCAAGAGATTGAGGGTGTCGGCGGCGTTGTCAAGATGAAGGCAAAGAAGCAAGTACGCGTCGGCAACTGTGTCAAAGTATATGAGGATGAGAGAGATAGGTCCATTCAGTACCTTCCTCGAGAGGTACAAGGCAAGCTAAGAAGCTGGTGTTCCTGGTGCCAGAGGGTCGTGCTGAGTGGGAAGGACTTAGAGGAAGAGATTTTTGGTGTGAGACCCCCTTCAAGTGTTTGCAGCTCCGAGTCGTCTGGGAGATAGCTTTGTGTAAAGACATTTGTCTTTGATGCGACAGTCTGCACACACTACAACACTACAAGCCGTTTGGATGCAACCCATCCTCACAAATTACTGCGCCCACTTCCGATCGACTTAGAGTATTGATATTCTCTCATCGAGCACAGTCCCTTTCGAACACCTCCCTCACGCAACATGATATATCACTGCCCCAAATCAGTCTGCCCAAGCCATGTTGGAGGATCTCTACAGTTCCCAGGACTTGTCCGCCGTAATTTAGACCTTTGAGGATATCAACGACGTCCTAGTAACTGCCAGGAAGAGATTGAATAAGCTGATTGTTTATTTTGAGAGGGTTGTGCTGAAAAATCCTAAATGGCTTCTTAGATTTGCTCCTTTGCACGCTAAGCTGTGGACGATTCAAGTTAAATTCATCAAAGCGCTGAGTAGTATTTGAGGGCTCGGGCCATGGTGACTCTGGACACTTATCCCGGACCAGTTCCCGCGTTCTTGGAGAAAGGGATGGGAGTTAGAACCCACTTTCGTCGGACCTGAGGCATTCCCGCACTTTTAGGGATTTGAGAAGGCTCATAGAGAGGGTGGGGCGAGAGATTGCGGTTTGAATCTACCACGGGGGGAAATGGTAGAGGCTTTCGAGAATAGGGATGGCGATGTGGATGTCTTGTCACCAATCTTCAATATCAAGATTTTGACCGGGGTGGAGGGTTTTATTACGTTTGTTGATATTGACGAGGCTGTTAAGTGTCCGCAGGGGTTAGGGGAAATGGGTATCGAGGAGGAAGCGGAGGTGGAGAAGTGATGGGGCCGCTCTGGAAATCGGTTCGCCGGGATTAGATTTCCGATTGTGAGATAATAGTTGTAGGGAAACGATATCTTGCGGGGAAGGGACATCCTCAAGAGTTGATGAATTGAATGAACGAAGGTAGGGACAAGGCTCTCCATAGCTGTGAGTTCTTGCAAAATTAGCTTGCAATCTAGATTAGGTTTTCTATCAGTTCAAATTGAGAAACCACTGGATAGAGATTAGCTATAGCTCAAGAGGACGTCGAGATAAATCAAAGTAAAAGTACGTACATAGTGCAGTCTACAACTGCTTATTACCATGTAAGGCGCTTTCCCCTAATCCACCGTGACGGGACCGCGAAATTATTCTTACCGTGATACCTGGCCATTCCATTTTGTAGCCTCGTTAGCAACAGTTGGAACTTGATTGCGTGAGCGAGTTCGTGTGCAGAGTGCCGAAGTTATATACCATGTCTAATTCATAGTCTCGTTAGGGCGCGTGACGAAGGCTAAAGTAGAGCTAACGTATATATTAGCACTGGGTCTCTAAAGAAATACTTGTATACAAGTAGTCCCTTAGTTGTAGGATTTCGGCCTCCCAATTCGCCCCAGCGCCGACAACGAGGCGGGCTTGTTGTATTATGGATGCCTCCAGACTGCTACACTTAGTTCCAATCCATGCGAAAACGGTGATGGCTCTTCAATTCACAAATAAACCAATTATCCATTCTTCCATTCAAATCTCGCCCCTAGACGGTGGCGCTGACGACAATCCCGAACACGCGCTTTCAGTACCACCACCTCCTTGGATAATATTTAGATCGCGTTTGATTTTGTCTTCAGGAATGCCAGCGTATCGATTCGTCGCCGTATCCTTGAATTAGTTGTCGATTCTTCCAAAACAATGTCAAACTTGCCACCGACTGTCCTAAATTTCTCCACAACTTTCTGCTCAGCCTTCAAGTCCTTCTTCAACCCTTCTTTCTCGCTTTACAACCTGGCGACTTGTTCCTTAAGCTCCTGCACCTCCAACTGTTTCTCTTCGCCTTCCTCCTTCTCCTAGTGCAGCGACGATCGGGGCTCCTTCACTTGCTCCTCACTCACCCCTCTGGCAACCAGAATCTTTCCAATTCTTCAGATGTTCCTGATGGCCAGTGGCCCCAAATTGAAGGGTCGCCTGCTTGCTTTCGGATCGAACGACAATGTCGTGCAGACTCGTCTCAATTTTGGAAGCCCATTAGTTGTCGCGAATTAAAGAGTTTTCTGTTTTTTCTAGTTTGAATATGCTAGTGAAAGGATTTCCGTAGGTTTATGTGACCCTGGGACTTGAGGAAGAGAGGAGAAGACCTTCGTCACTTCCATAATGGTTTAGCTTGGAAATTCGGTATATTCTAGGTATGTTTGTGATTTGGGAATTCATGCGAACCTCATGGTGCTACATACATATGAACAACTCAAAAGTCTTGCCTATTCAGGTGCTGCAAATTAGAAGTTCTGGCGACTATGATGATGAAGTGGAGTGTAGCCACGGCACTACCAAGCTCCAAATAGTGAAAGAGCGCGTGTCACACGAGCAAGGACCAAGCGCAGCACTAAAGTCTAAGCAACACAACGAAGCACTCTCCCAACAACAAACACCGTATTTGTTCTTTGCATATATTTTTGCTTGGTCATACCTTATCCACTTTCGCTAACACTGCAATATGGCGGGGAACCGACAAACCCCGTCCTATGCAGACTTTCGAGCGAACAGCGTTAGAGCAGAAACCTCTTCCGACCCTGAGATTCCATCAGAATGCTCGATTTGCACCGAAGAGTACGACAGCGGCCCGCATAAAGCCACCCGTATATCCCTACCTGAATGCAACCACGTTTTCTGCTTGCTCTGTCTTAACGATATGTTCTCCCACCGCCGCGATCTGCTTTGCATGAATCTCTGCCCATTGTGCCGTACCGTTTGGTTTCTCTCCGAGTGTCCCGAAGAGATTGAGAGGCTGGAACGGGAACTGCAGCGGTATCTCCGCTTAGGCGGTATGTAGCAGAACCTCCACTTTGACACGGAGTCACGTCACTTACACCAAGACTCTCCAGGAGCGCCGCACCTTGTCGGGCAAGCCTTTCCAGGTCTGGGTTTCAGATCAATGAGCCCGCTAGCTGAGCGGCCACGCCGACAGCCACCACGAGATGTTGTTGGACTGGATCAAGCAGGAAGGAATCCCTTTGAACCTTTTGGCCGCTTACTAGAGTTACCGAGTGTGCGTGTATCGAATCGATCGACAACTCGGCGACAGCAACTGCCATTCGAAACCGACAGCTACACTGAAGGTGACCCGATTCCTGATATTCATCAAGAAAACCTCCTCGGGGTGCTCAGGCGTCGTTCGCACAGAACGCAACGCCGAGGCCGTCAGTTGGTACCAACGGTGCCTGCCCCAAACTCAGTGGCAAACAACGGAGCCTCAGCATCAAGCGATAATATGAGGCAATTGGGAATTCCTAATGAACAACCACCTTCCCAATCCTCATCTCCACGCCTACCTGTAACGCCTCATCCGGACGGTGGTTCTGGTCATGATGACGACAGATCTAGCGAGCAATGTTCTAGTGAAGTTCCAATTCAGCGCCCAGGGGCCTTCAATTCCTTGAACTCCAGGCCGAGGCGAGCCAGCCCCTCTTATGGTCCGACCGATAACGGACTCTCAGGACTTTCACCGCCAAACAGACGCATACCAGGAGAGCCGACGTCACCTGCTCCACACCTTACGGGAAGGCGCAGACCACCTCAACTTCTCCCATTTCACACCAACCCTCCCTTCCCTTCATATCCCTCCATATTTATTGGTATCGAAGGTCGCACTCGCCCTGTCCAAAATCCCAGTGGCAGCCAACCGCCCCGATCCTCGCGGTACAGACTTGAGCCTTGGCAGCTCTCTCCTTTCACCCACCCTACTCGGGTTCAGGAGTTCCAGCAAATGGTCCAACAACGTGAACAGGCCATGGACCAACGCCAACAGGGGCTCCAACAACGTGAGCAACAACTCCAACAGAGTGAGCAGCATCTCCAACAGCGCGAGCAGCAACTCCGACAGAGGGAACAGCAACTTCAGCGAGATGTGGAAGAGCAACGCTTGGAACACACGCGCGCAAACACGGACATGAACGAGAGAGGGGCTAGGATAGACGCGCGAGAGACCGTAATTGAAAAACGATTGCAAGCGTTGCAGGAGCGGGGTGATGAAGCAGACTGACTCAAAGTGACGACGAGGTGAATCAGCGCGAGTGAGCAGAATGAGTGTGAGGGAATTAAAGTTATGCACTTGTACTTAATCTCAGCTGGGGAATGCTTTGTAGAACAGGGCTTCGCAACTGATTAATGGGCCACATAGACTCTGGCCGTTTTATTCAGTAGTAATCTTCTCGCAACGGCATCCTGCGCTTTATCAGTCCCAATACATATATACACTAGGACAAAAGCCTGTTAACCTAAACTGTGCCCCGCACTAAAATCGCGTCATGTAAAACTAACCACCTGGTTTAAACCCCACTATTTAACCATGAGACACTCTTGTAGCCAGGAAATTAGTAGATATTTAAGGGGAAAGCATATCTTTACTTCTGCGCAGCGCTTAGCTATATTAGCAAAGTCTAATATAAGCGTAATGTAGGAGGATATTACTGCTAAGTTTAGCTACACATAACAGCGTATTGCAACTCTAATTAAGAGATAGCAAAAACACTACACACTTAGGTTACTGCCTTGTTTTAGGCTTTCTATGCTTATTTGTCAGGCTTAAAATTCCTGGAAATACAGTACTACTAGCTTATAGAAGACACAGATCTTCTAAACTAATAGTACCTCTTTAAGAACTATTTACTGCATCTTTAAGTAGAAAGGTCTTACAAACTACTGCTATAAGCAGTGCTTAAAAGTAATTGCTGCAAGACTAAGGTTCTCTTATAAGTATGGTTATTTTAATTAGAAGAGAAGGACAATGTGACGGGTTGGACCCATGAGGGCCCGCAAGTGGACCAGATTAAAAATCTCGATGGGACCCGACATCCGAGGGACATCACATCTCGCTCATAAATATTGACTATGCAAACTGAATCCTCGCTAATTCAACTTGTGCATACCTTTTGGCTGACCCGTTGTGCACATTGTCGTACCGATGATCCAATGGATCTGGCCGCCCGTTACAGGCAATTCAGTTCTTACATAAATACTCTATTAGATTAGGGACAGGTGCTAAAGCAGAGTAGTGTCTTTAGTACAATAAAAATAGATATGCTCTACAGATAATTTAGAAGAAAGTTAAGTTAGAGAGGAAGAGCTAGGTATTACAAGTTGTGATCTAGGTGAATATAGCTAGTAGGGCTATGTAAGGACAGGGCTCTGCACCACTCCGCCATTACAACCAAAAAGGTGCGAATAATCAACCAACAGTTGATTTGCGAATAGAATAGTATATAGGCCTTACAGGTTAGCCATAGTGAATTAGTTATCATAGAGAGGGACCCTAAGAGTGCTAAGAACAGGTACAATACTAAAAGCTACCTTAAGGCTCTACGCAAAGGCCTATTGCCCTAGAACCCACCTAGGCAGATCTTTTTACAGGACAACGCGCCTATTCACAAGACTTAAGTAGCGCAAGTGTTCCTCAAAGAGTATAGGGGTTTAGACTATAGAGCGGCCCCTTCATTTCCCTAACCCGAACCTACTTAAGCACCTCTAGTAGGCGCTAAAAAAGCTAGTCCATAAACTTCGCCTTAAGTTTAATAATTAGAACCTTTAAGGAGGAGTAAGGCCAATTCCGCAAGGCATTAAATGACGCGTAGAAGGAGATACCTAATTCACTCCTACGCAAGCTTATAGAGTCCATGCTAAGAGAACAGCGCAGTAAGGAAGCCCTTAGGGTTATCAAACGAAGTACTAGGTCTAGGCAAACTATTATTCTAAGATAAAGCATAGATGGGTTATTTCTATGCATCAAGAAAGTTTCAAAACAATTCTCTATTTCCTTAGGCAAAAAGTCATGTGAACAGACTTTTATCCGGTGACTGTGTAATATCAGCTCCTCAGTTCACAACTTGTGCTGTCGTAGGACGAAGCTCCAGCAGAAGGCTATGGCCGAACAAACCAGAGAAACACCTACAATCAAATATATCAGTAGGCATATTCCTAATCTAAACGAAGTTTACTTTACGATGGGTCCAAGCCAAAGCCTCCACATAGGCACTTAGAATCACTGCAGCGATAGGGGGCTTAGCATTGTCAACATAGCGAGTATCCGACACAGCTCGTTCAATAATCTACGTTTCGTCAGCTACAACGGATTGCGACGTAATCACATCACCCTCTTCGAGCTTCTTGAGTCTCGAAAATCCCAACCTATCAAGTCGACGATTGAGCCCTCTCCACAACATCGCTTGCATCACGGCCCCCACACTAGCTAATCTAGCCACTATTCTAACAGATGAGGAGAGAAATAGAGCCGAGGTGGCAACTGCCGTGTATTGTGGATCGAAATCGACTTGGATACTGGTAAATATTGCAGATTGAGCGACCCGAGTACCGAAACCGCCTGGGACGATGTAAAGGGATTCGAGCCAGTTTGTGTGTCCATGCCAACGGAATATGAGGAGGTAGCCGAAGGTCGCGATTAGGGTTGCAGAGAGAAGCAACAATTTGTAGCGCCCAGTCCTGAATCAGTCTTCAATTAGTAAGCTAGGCTTCGTCAATAAGTACTTGTTCTCTGACCTCAGAATGATGGCCCCGGACATGACACCTCCCACTGCATTTCCGGCAACGGCAAGAAATAGGTGTGCACCGGCGACCGCGTTGGAAGCTTTGGCAATGATCTAGAAGTAGAGCGGAACTGCAAACATCAACTACCCAAGAATTAATCAAACGCACAGTTGGGCAAGGCATACACGTACCCCCATCTGCGCAGCCGTTTGGAGGGCCATGACGACGAATGAAACGACGGAGTCCCGATGCTGCAAGAGCTGCAGCGGCAAAATTGGTTCTTTAGCCATCTAGCCTTCGGTTACTATAAATAATACACCAAACACGGCTACTATGCCAAACAGAATCGGGATGATAGGGTGGGTCCATGGTAATTTAACACCACCTATCTCAAGGGGTAATAGGAAGCCTAGGGTAGTCATAGTCACCAGCGTTGCACCTACGAAGTCGATTCTCGCAAATTTGCTTTGCTCTGGTCCTTCTTCGACTTTGGGATCCTGGTTGCAGTTTGGAAGTGTATACCCAACAAGGACGATCGCAACTGCTGCCAAGGGAGCCTGTCCTAGAAAAGACCTGCAAAGAATTAGCAAGTTCAGGTTGGTGAATCTGAATAGTAGTAGCTGAAATCACCGACGCACCATCTCCATCCCACCGTGTCAGCAAGCCACCCTCCAACTAGCCCTCGAAGACTTCGGCCAGTTTTTACAACAGCATTTACATAGGAAAGCCATGACGCCACATGGCGGAGTGGTATGAGATCTTGCCACAATATCAGCAGAGTATAGAGGGAGATGTACATTGGGGGAACATGGGCACCCGTTACTATGCAGTTGGGCTGAAACATAGAAAAGGTGCCGGGTGAAGCGAAGTGGAGCTCAGCTATTACTAAATGCATCACAGCACAGCTACAGATTGTCTTGAAATGTTCTGCCTTCAAGTAGCTCCTTAAAGGGACGAATCCTATTACTTGAGTATGGGAAATGTGATGGAGATCATTGAAAAGGTCGACAAACCGGTGATAATTATTGAAAGCAATGCGGTCATGCCCGCACTGCCAGATCCAGATACGATGCGACCTAGTATGACGTGCTACATGGTAGTCCCAATACCTCCGAAGCTCTCAGAATTCAACAACGTTGGCTCTGAATCCACTTACACAATTGCACTGGGTCACAGTAAGTATATATTTAAGAATGATTCCATCGATATGTTTCCTACCATCCGAGACCAAAGAGAATATATGCCGCAAGTAACGGGGCATCTTTGCAATATAGGTCGCGCAATTTTCCGTAGTACAATGTTTATCAACTCAAAGTAAGCTTGAATTCGGACACATTTAAGCTGACTAAAGGTTGAGTTGATGCAGCTGCAAGAGCAAAGCTAGTAATTAACTAGCTCGAGTCGTGAGGAGCATTGAATTCTGAGGATGATGAGATGTGCAGCAATGAAGAGTGAGCCATCAGCGTCAGAGATGAAGGCACCTATTGTTGTCAAAACTTAGAAAAGGCTTGCCGACGTGCGACTAACAGGAATAATTCGCACGATAAACGAAGACAGTGCTTCGGTTGAAGGAGAAGTTGGACCTGGCTCCAGCCTTGCTTCTTCGTTAACCGCGACCGAAGCAGAGAAAGTGTCGCTGGAACTCGTACTCGAAATGAGGCTAATGTTGCTCTCAGACAATACACTCTCTGTTTGAGTAATTAGTGCCGTCTGTTCATTAGGTTTGGTGGTGTGGTTTAACATGTTGGTAAACTGGACCTAGTGGGGAAAGATATATTGGGAAGATTAAGAATGTAAGCCATGATAGCACTTATCTGCAAGTAGTGGGCATTTGACTCAGGCAGCAGGTCACCCAACCATGGCTGTGCCAAGGCTGACCATGGCTAGGCCAGATGTGGTTGGTGCTGCGGGGATGATTAGATTAGTTAGCGCGCCCACACAAACTAAAGCAAGCGTCCCATGCTTAGGGACGTGTACTGTAGTGAAACATTGCGTTATATTCCACTAGCGCCGGCGGTCCTGTCGTCATACGCCGACTAGCCCTACCAAATGCCGTAATTATTCGTGCGCAGCTAATATTCGCCAAAGTTTGCTGGTAGTTAGCTTATCTAAGCGCGCACGAATGATTAGTAGCCCCGTTAACTGTGGAGTTATCAGTGTAGAACTACCAGCGGAGGAGCCGGGATATCGGCCTGTTATCTTGAGAACCCTGTACTCAGTTGTACTAGGTTAACCAGAGCGCGCCCGTTTGGCGTCAACTTTCTCGCGATCGTCGTGGGTGTCTTAAGCCCATACAAGGCACGGCCGGGGTAGTTCATAGTAGTATTGGTGCTAGCAGCAGCGCAAATCATGAGTGAAAAGGCTGGGGGCTTAGCCTAGCCCCGGACACATGACATCCCATCACGTGCCTTGGTACACATTTATCCTTTCTTGAACCCTTGAGTCTCCTCAAGGATTCACCTATCAATAATATCCTATACCACCTCTCTGCGCTTCCTACTTCCTGCATACAAGGCTCTCATAGCTTGGAATTAGCCTTTAGCGCGCTTAGAAATATAATTCTATTATATGCTTCAAGTTACATGAGTATTATAAGATATTATTAGATTATGCCTAAAGCTGTTAAGAAACCCCTTCAAGAGAAAAAATAGCACCTCAGAACCTTCGTCCACAAATCATCATTTCACTCTTAACTCATGTCCCCTTGCAGGCTATAAATTCGGTTAAATGAGCGTGCACGAATCAGAATTGCAGCACTGCACCACGTTTCCCCTGGTTCGCTCCCAGTATGCGACCATCCTCGCGCGACCATGTGAATGTCTGCATGCAAGGGCACACGAGACACACCACCATAGCGCTGGGACGAGCCCTTGGTGATGCACGCCATCAACGTCCCTATATCACTATGCGGCATAGATGCTGCCTTACACCAAAGCACACGTCCCTAAACTGAACTTCCGCCGATGACCATTCAGTCACATATCACTGTTACCCTCGCCTTGCTCGTTATCGTTGCCTCTGCCATCAACCGCGACGATTGCGCTGCCACGATCCGCAATGAAATCCAGAATCAGAGCCTAAAGGCTGACAACTGGACCTTCTTCTACGATATACCTGCCCTGTTAGACCCCAAGAGCACGCTGTCCGTGAGATTGGGATCATGCTTGAGCAAGTGCGGCGGCGGCTTCAGTTGGTATACAGGCAGTGAGATCTCTAATCGTATGATCGGCTGGCTTATCCCCGTTCTTGTGCTTATCGGTAACATGCATATGCCACCTCTCAGCGGAAAATACAAGGCCTTCAGCATCCTACACTTCATCGGCGACCCTATTGACAGTATACTAAGTCTCCAGCATACCCTAGGCATTCGCCACGCAGCACACGTATGGGCTGGAAAAACTGTCACCGAGCACAGCTTAACGGGACGAGTAGCACCTCAAGACCTTGCTGCCGTCTTCTGGGCGTTTGACACATTAAATGCAGGATCCAGCAACACGCCCATCCGCATCCTAGAGCCGTTACTACACCTACCGGATTTCCCCTTCGCAGTCAATGAGGCCGCAGCAGACATACGGAATACCACAGTGAAAGAATCAGCGCGAACATACCTAGCTATCCTCATATACCTCAGCACCGTCGCCACAGCATTTATCAAAGCATCGAGCAGTACAACACAATTCGCGTCAAGACCAGGGAACCGGGTCGCCCTCGCAATGCTCTACTGTTGGCTACTCCCTGCCATCCTGCTCTCCACCTCCGCCGCCCGCTTCACGACGTCAGATGCCTGCATTCGAGCAATCAAACGCTTCACCCGACATCTCCGCCACCCCAAGTTCACAGACACCTCACTCTTACCGGCTCAGTTTCACTCGCACATCACCACCATGGCCAGAACAACCCACAGCGTCCAAGATGCTTCACCCTGGTCCGGGGCTATCTACGTCTACCGCCCCTGCAAGCCGTTCATTTCCCATCCCTTCCCCTACTACCCCTCCCCAGTCTCCATGCTTCTGCTGTCCATCATCCCCATCCTCATCTCCATGTGCGTGGCCATAGCCATCAGTTACAACACCCCCACCATCGGCTTCGGGTGTCGGTCCATCGCTGAAATCTCCATCAGTTGCATGTGGCTCTTCTCCTTCCTTATCACCCTTCTCCTTCAGAAACTCCGCATCGCGACGGGAAAGTTCCAACTCCTCGTTGTTGGTGCGAAGGACTTTCTGATCGGCTGCGGCGCTCTGCTGATTGTTGCTATTATCTACGCCGGAGCATTCAATAGCTGCTGGTGCTGGTCTAATGGCGTGAATGGCGTTGTCAATCATTCACTGCACGTGCTACTCGGGGTGGATGCGAATCTACAGGTGAATGCTGAGACGATATATCCCGGGCTGGTTGGGGGAGGGTTGGGGGCGCAGGTGGTAGTGTTTTTGGTTATGTGGGGAGGGGGGTGGGGGCAGACGAGCTGGTGGAAATGGGCGGTTGAATGGGGGTTACGGCAGACCAAGAGAAGCTATCAAACCGTTACTACAAGGGCGGGAAATGAGAGTGGAATTCCTTTGGTGGATAGGGGTCCGCTCCCTGATGGACGAGAGGTTCATAGGTAGTATTACTGAGCAGATCAATTCCAGAATGCTAGTCGTTTACAATTGCACAAGTACAGTCTTTCACTGGGTCTCTCTTCACTAATATCTATCAAGACGCGGAGAAGTTACACTGGCTAACGATTGAGAGTTTCGAACGAGCTCTTGGCTGATGTGGAAGATAAAATCTGAGCAATAAGAGGGGGGAAGGGGAATTTTTAGGAGCATGTAGATGAGGAGTATTGCGCAGCTATATCTGCCCAGTTTCCATTATTCGATAGCGCTTCTACCGTTCTTGGACATACACACCATATCTTGTCCGTAATGTATCCCAGTAGTGAGTCGTCTCACTGAAACCCCCAGCGCAAGTTGAAATTCTGTCCCGGGTGTTGCTTGATGTATCTTCTAGCTTGGAAAGCGCAATGACTTGGAGAGCTTCGGTGAAGGATTTCTCGTTGGTTGGCTAAGGTGTGAAAGGCGCGTCTACGAAACTTGAAGGAGGTGCAATATGTTGGTGTTCTTTCAAAGGAGTCTGCGATGTACACATAGACATATATCATGCCCGCATCGGAGTTAAACAGGGACATGTCGCGAGATCTATCTGCGGTTTAAGAGTTTGAGCATGTTCAAAGTAGCCACTTGCAAATTTGCCTGTGTTGAAGTCTAGCTGATGTATCTCAACTCAACCTCGTCTCCACCGCCACCCACCCCGTCCTGAGCGTGTTAAACTCCCTCCTCAGCAAGACACAGCAGAATCATCTCAAATAACGTACCTCATGGGTGTGCCGGCTACTCTGCTAGAATCCTACTAAAACTATCCTAACATTACAATGCCTTAAGAATAACACTAATTAGGACCTTTAAAAGAAGCTAGAGTACAGCTTGCGCTTTAGGCTGTTAAATAAGGTGTAATAATTACCTTATCACACGCTGTAGCTTTTTACAATGTCTTTTATACAACACTAAGCACGTTTTTGTCCGACAGCGAAGGGGTTTGTGCGAAGGCTGCATCATCACTAATATTCAGCGGCTGTGTGAGCTTGAGCGTGGAGTTTTCGTCTGCTTAAAGTCTCTGCATCTCCTCTCTCCCTACACTACCAGCAATCCTTCGAGCTACGACAGCAGCAATGGCAATGTTTTTAGATACTTGTTGCGTACCTCAGTCGCATCATCCGCTTCAAATTATACATTATGATGGGCGCCCGAAGCCAAAACGACCCTCACAGCGTACTTCCCCCAAGATCCGGTTTGGCGAAGATGGAACGGGGTCGAACGCTGAACAGGAGAATGAAGAAGATCCTATACCTACATCTGATGAAGTCGAACTTGCCGATTTGGCGTGCTTAGGTAGGCATCCCTATCGCCGACGGAATGTTGGTGTTTGCTCTGGCGTTGTCTGACGACTAACAGGGACGCAGCCGACAACGAAGCTAACTACGAGGTTAGCGGCAGAAGAGGAGAAAATGGCGATGTTGGCAATGATGACCCCACGAACGAACGGGAAGGTGTCTCAATGCCAGCCTCTCAAGAAGACACAGGGGATAAGGCTTCACGTTAGCCGGCCCCTTATAAGAGAAGTAGTTAAGATAAATGCCCTAGCCCGGTCGTGATAGTAGCTCACGCATGCATTTTCTGACTATGCGTAGGAAATGCGGTCATTATCAATGATAGTTAGTCGGACTCTGAGGCCGACTCGGGCGACCTGTACGAAGAAGATCCAGGTTTGCACATGGGCGATCGGCTTGAGTCCCCCAGTACTTCGACCCCGGAGTATCGTGATACGGAGGTCCCTACCGGCACGACCGACACAATTAACTTAGAAACGGTTAATAGAGCGAAGATTCAAGCCAATAAGCCCCCGCATGGGCGACTACCATCAACGCCGCCGACTAGCCCGTCGATAACGAACATCGAACAGTTGACGGAAGAGGCCTTCCGCTGCATACATATGAAAGCCACCGCACATCAGCGCCCGACGGAAACAAGGTGAAGTCGGAAGATGAGCATCCGCTATTGCAAGTCTATTCCTTCTATCTAACAGTACCAAGTTAGACTTCCTACCATCGAAAGTACGAGCAGCGGTAGCAGCAGCGGAAGCGATACTGATGACGACGACCACAACGGCAAACACACAACGTCGCTGACCCGCAAGCGGAAACGCTCTCCACCAGCCAACAACGCAAGTCACAAGCGGCAAAGTCGAGAACCGAACACAACGTTAAAGCCGAGCACTACTTGCACCAAACCCTCTGCAAGGCGACAAAATCTATCTCTACCCCAGGAGAAGGCAGTCTCCAATCATGTCTCAGATGCTAGACTTGCTTCAGCAGCGCAGTCTAGCGTCTGTGATACTAAGATGTGCTGCGGTAAGGACAGCAGTGCCGAAAGCAGCGAAGGGAGCGGTGAGTGGGGCCGCCATCTTCGAAAGGGACGGAAGCCTATGGGAAGCAATCAAGGCAGCGTTTGGTGTTCACGTTTAAACGCTAAGAATCCGTCGTCCACTCCCGCTCCACTGCATGCGAATCGGAAAACGAGGTTGTCTGCAAAGGGTGTATCACCTGGACAGATACAGTGGCATCTATTAGACATAGCATTCCACTCGCTCTCGGCCTATGTGTCGTTTTTGATAGCTATCTTCCGTGCTTATAGTGGCCCGGGAATGATATCTACCAGCCATGCAGTCACCCTCTTGAAGAGTATTGTGGGCGATCCAACAAAGCTTGAGGATATCACGATCAAGCCGCTCACATCTGACACGTGGTTTCTTACGAGTTTGACATATTTGCTCAGTGGTGCTCCGGATGCGGGATAGGCCAGCCACTGCTAGCTCCATCTAGCTTGCCACTGAACAGGGCAGACACTGCATCTCCACGGGATTATGGACGGCCTCGCGATGCTGTCGTCGACGACGACGACCAAAGTGCATATGAAGATTATGATAAGAAGGGCAAAAATGACGAAGAATATCTAAGCGATGTCGTTAAGAAGCTCTCGAGCTCTAGGACTCATCCGCTGGTCAGAGAAGGACGACAACAGATTGCGCAATTGGGGAAAGCAAGGCAAGTCTTGGAACTGGATATGTGATCGATTCCCGGACAGATCTCGGGGCGCCATGTAGGTACACTATCCGAAGCCGCGAAAGAAATCCTGAAAAGGGATAGTACAGATCTATCAAATTATTGCTCTCATCCGCGTCGCTTTATTTCTTCGCATCGACAAAATCGCCTCACCTTGACATACTAAGATCATAGGCTGCCTCTGTGAAATGTTTCACATGTCTGATCTCTGGTGGGAAGGTGGTTCGTTGGTCGATAGGCTGGGGCATCCCTCAGAACTTAGGAGTGCCACTTGATCACGGTCGAAAGCCCTCAATTCTAGCCCGGTGACCTCGTTATTAGCCTCGTCAACGATTTTCGCTATCTTATCCTTCAGATTGCATGGGTGTTTGTAATCTCGCTTGTATCCGGAATTACTCCATACTGGCGACTTCATGTTGTAGACGTTCGAGCACAGCTCTCCAAAACTCATTCCGAAGAATGGTGCTACTGGATACGGCGCTAGCAAACCCGACCATTCCATTCCCTTTGCAAGGGCGCCGTAGAGTATAGAGCCACTCTCGAACGAGTTGATGCCGCTTGGACAGTGATAGTCCCTCTGACAATATTCATCGAGGAGATCGTGTAGTTGCGAGATAACGTTGCCGATTGCTTCGATGTGGGCTTGATCGATCCGGTATATAGAGTAGGTTAGCCAGGTGTTAGCAACTGGCTCGAGACCTGCCCACGAAGCGTGTAATTGAAAGACCTAAGTTCGGCGACTCATCCTGCCGACTCTGCTTGATAGCGACTACTGTCGTCAGTGCGAATTCCTTAGGTAATCTCAGTACCCAAGCTATGCACATCCACAACGTGAGATTTCGACAGTACTCTGCCGGGACTGGTGTGGTGCTTTGATATCCTTTATCCACAAATCCGTCAAAAGCTTTACAGGTTCTAAGTAGCAGTAGTATTCGGCTAGTACGACGATCTTTGTAAGCATGGCTAGAGGCGCTGACCGGGGTATGTAGCTGTTACGAAGATGTAGTACACTGAGAAGAATTGAAAGTGCATCTTCGTCCCAGTCGTCGGCATAAATGTGATAACGACGATCGTTCCCTTGGAGTCTCCCTTCCATCCAGCTTCCGGAAAGCATGCTTTCAAAATTTAGGCGAGGCCAGTCTGAGTTGACTCGAATAGACTTCATAGCGTATTTTGGTGGGGGCGTGAAAAGCCTATGCTAGAGGAAGAGGCAAGCTTGCAGTATACGAATCAGCGCTTGCGGCGGGTATCGGGGGCGCGACTGAATGGATAAGGAGCACGGAAGCACTGCCGGGACGGAAAGATGTCTTTGGTAGTCGACCTATCACCTATATGCTTTTCGGTACGCTCTTATCTTTGCACCGTTCATCGTGGCTTATGCAAGAAGCCATTCAATGCGGAGATCTTTGCTTATCGTGCCGTTTAGGACTGGGATTATGTTAGCCCAGGACGCCATATATGTCACGTGGGATAACCACTGGCTAATTGGTCCATGTCCACATGTATATTAGTACCAGACCTTGGACACTCAAGTCTACAGAGGTCATACCGAAATACACATTGTCTCTACAACGTCTCCACACCTGCTTACACAGATATACGAGCGTGCGCTATCATCACGTGACCTTACTTCCACTCGACCTCCTCAGATACGAATCGCGACGGAATACAAGTATACAAATGGAACTCACCGAGCGCCTAAGCAGACGGATGCGCTGTTGCCTCGGCTGAGGAACGACAAGCGAGTGGATAGTCGTAGCATCGGTGGTGAAGCATCAGCGACTTGTGCCTCCTTCACTAAACGCCAGCAAGTGTTATAAGTAGATCGAAGAACCATTTTACTGTGCCTCTTTGTCATAGATCGTCCTTTGGCGTGATGTGCAACGAGAAATCAGCCTGGTGATATTCTGGTCAGCCAATATCATCCCCACATTCTCCACTTCAAGTTCGGTCATGTCTAGACTAAGCCCCAGTGGTGGGCGCGCGCATAGCAGAGCCTCAAATAGCCGCATCGATGTAACACAACACAGTAATTACTATATAAGAGCATATATTAATCTTAGATCTACCTCCATAGGCGCCGGAGCATATGCTTTGCCGTATGCGGCACAGTCCTTCATCCGAGTTGGGCAAAGGGAAATGTTCGGTTCTGCCTTCGCTCATTCGTTCAGTAGCTATGCCTCGCGCTCCATTTTTCAAGCAATGTTTGGATGATAGCGGCTCTATTCACAGCGCGTAAATATGTTTGAGAACTTTGAGGGTACCAATGCATGAAGGGAAAGGAGCGTTCTAAAGAATGGAAATACCTTGTTTCATCAGTGAAAACCCAGCATTTCTTGAGTCCTACTCATCAAGGCTCGACCATTTGTTAGATGGCTTCGTGAGCTTGGCTCCGCCTTTCATTACAACCACGCGCTTTTTCTAACATTCTCCGTACATATTTTCGGTCCTAAAACTTGGTGGCTTTGAGGCAAAGCCTTGAGTCCAGACATAGCAGCAGTTTAGGATTGTATGAGACTGCACATCTTAAGAAGTATGTATATCTCCGAACTGGAGCAGAGACTGCACACTTAGAATATCAACTGGTGACCATTCCTATTCGCATTAATCTTCACCTTCTTTCTTCCTTTCACTTTTTACATCACCCCAGACCTTTTACCTTTTATCGAATTCCAAATACCAAATTGGACCCTTTCCACCGAAATGGGAATTTCTTATCGCATGCGTGAGTGGTTTAGAAATTCCTCCCTCAAGACTTGGTGGGCTGAACATGTTCTAAAGAAAACGTGAACTACCGTCTCTGGACGTACCTGCTACCAATACCGATACTTATTTTCTACTGTAAGCCACCGCAAGAGGCATCATGTATACACAGAACTGACTTGTGTTTAGCTCTATCTCTAACGGGATGTGTATCAACTTCTCCAGGTATTTCTAATATATTTACTGTTAAGTTGCAGAGATTCAATGAAACAAGCTCTCTGCTATCAGAAGTCCGGCTTGGATATTTCGGTACGTCGTTCTGGAAAGCTAAACTACTATATTCGAGAATTTCTAATCAGGAACTAGGCGTTTGTGCTTCTGTATCAAATGGTCTTTCGTGTTCACCCAGCTCCGGAAAATCCGTCGATGCCCTTTTCAGCTCGCTGATCGGACCCAATTCCAACACCACGTCCAACCTCAGCGACGACTCCAGGCACGTTTTATCTATGGCACTAGACATACAGTCGAAGATCATCATCTACCTTCTTGCTGTTGCCGGCGTATTGTTTGCTATCAGCCTTTTTTTTATCAGTCTCTTGAAGGGGCACTTCAGAATGGCCGGAATAGAGAATGTGAACGCAGGGAAACGAATCCAAATGCTAAGAAAAGTTTCCATGATGACGATGTGGGGCTCAGTTGCGTTTGCACTTGCATCAGCTATATCGATCAATCAAGCAACAAGTGCCATGGAGTTTATCACGAGGGTGGATAGCTCATCGAGTATCGAGATTACCGCGGGAAAGACGTTGAACATTCTTCAATGGCTGCTGTTCGCATTCTCGACCCTCTTTGCGGTTGGTATATCGAGCATCTTTACGAGAGAAGGTGGAATGATCAAGTCTACTGGTTCATCTGAAATGGCTGGTGCGAGCCGAAATAATGCTGGAATGGGAAGAGCGGGAGGCTCCGGAGGTGGTCCACCTCCCTTTCCTCCTCCTCTACCGCCGCCACCGCCGCCGCCACCATGAGTCGGGGCTTAGCTTCCCAACTGCTTCTGGTATGTGGCTCTTAAGCATATGCAATAATTATTTGGTTTTGATACATTTTGTTTGTTGTATGCGGTCTCTCTCACTGTCACGTGCAAAGCGTTTGTTGTGCTTAGCAGTTTTTCGACTTGGTTCCCATAGACTTTCCGCGCTCTTAAATCGAATTTAGACACAGAAAATGTTATCAATCTGGGTCAACAATGCTGTGTCGATAGCAATATTGGCTGAATACATTTCGGCTCAGCGTGGCTAGTAACTTGAATATCATACATCCCTACCACGAAAGGCCTCATGCTAGTAAGCATATTCTCAACCTGCAACTCATCATTGTAGTTTGGGAAAACTTGATGAATCACATCTGCAAGCTATCGAATCGAGTATCGCACTGTGAAATGCGCCTTCGAACATTCCCAGTACTCAGGATTCCAGCCTGCACACTCCCAATCACGATACCCGAAATCTTTCCTCTCTTATCCACAAAAATATTTTTATATTGAGGTCTGCATGAGTGAAAACGATTTTGTGTTTGACACTATGCGATATCGAAACCTGTTCCAATGCGTTTTCGTTCAAGAAAAGACCCCCCATTAGGTGCTCATTGAATTCGGCCTCGTCGCGGGATCTCAGCTCTCTACTCCTCGAATCAGCAATACGCCAATCTAGAATGCCACCACCCAAGGGGTTACATATCCACATCTAGACTTTACACTAGACGGTCGGGCCTTAGATAGTGGACAATTCTAGAAGCTTGAGGCGAGTTCGTTCAGGTGCAAAATGCGGGCGCGGCTGGCTGTGCTTCGCCTGCACTGGAACATGGGCATTGCGGCGAAGCTAAGATACCCACCGATTGAGCGGTTATAGATGGAAGAAAGGTTCTCACGGCAATTGCAGATCTTGCATGGAGAAATTTCAGAGCATTAGGCTGGAAGAATTTCCCTCTCGTTAGGGATTTCTGGGAGGTGTATTGAACGGTAGGGTAATATATCCCAGTTACTCTTCGTATATCCATTGCTCCAAAACTCAATGCAGTAGTACTATTCGTAAGAAGTACCAATTATAACATCATGGACACCCATATCCAACCGCCCTCCCTTACTGATCGTCTCCCTAACTGCCTCCTTCAACGTCTCAAAATCTCTACCGCCATCTTCCTCGCCTGCATTAGTCAGATCCATAACGGCCTGAAAAAAATTCCCACCATACCCATTATCGACCCCTGGCACACTTATCACATTCTTGAACGTTTCTCTGCCCGGCAACCACCCGCACGCATATCCCCTCAAGTAGTCCCTATCTTTGGAATTCACGACTTCAAGCAGGACACTGTCGTTGAAAACCTCACCTGCTGTGCAACTCTTAAAATACTTGCTGCCTGTGTTACGAAATCTTCAATCGGGTTAGTAATTAGACGAAGATCTAGGTCATGGAAATCTGACTCCGTTACGGTGCCATTGAGTTCCGAGAGGTAAGATTCAAGGACTGTGACGGTGTTGGGGAGGTCCTAGGGAATGAGTGTGTCGTCGGCAGTATGGTAGAGGATGACGGAAAGTCATTGGCCCACTGCAGTATGGATATGGAAACCAGGGTCCCCAAGGCGGACATCCAGTGGTAGCAATCTTGATTGGAGTGGTAGTGGTAAATGGGGTCGGTGGTGCCGCTGTCGGAGCCGATGTCGATCTGGGGTAGTGCTAATGTGATGCTGTATATTAGGAAAGATATAGATATCTCCTCGGCCGTCCTCTCAAACCTGGTTCTATTCCTCGGGGATCTTTCGGGTGTTGCGAAGGAGCTGTACTATTGAGTTTCTCAGACAAAATTTGGGGAAGTAAGCAGAACCATGAAATCACACAGCTAATGCTATTCTCATACAAACTTGCATAATCGCACCTTTTCCCAGCGGACCAATACCTCCCTCCGTCGTATTATACCACACATCATTCAATGTCTTAAACTCCCCTCACAATGTGTCAGGGAATAGGGTATTCTTCATCCGTTCCACGACAAAGGTTTGGAGTTCTCCGGAGCTAGAAAAAGCAGTTAGTGGACCAAAGACTCCGATGTCGATGTTGAGGTAGGGCGACGACGACAACGGCAAGCCAGGGGAGATGGGATTTGACCCATTCGGTTAACCCTTAGAGACCGAATTCTTTAGTATGCCTAGATCCCAGGACATTGTGGCTTGAAATTATCTGGAACAGTGTGTCCAACCGTTAGTTACAGAGCCTTTTGGAGGCTGTATAGTACAGTTACGGAAGAGGAGGCTGTTACTAACTAACTGTACGGAGGATATGACGTTAGTGTACAGTTAGGATACAGTAACTAAAGTATATTAAAGTATTATAAAGTAATTGCGCTAAAGCTAAAGACTATACCTAATTAAAAAGTTATAATACCTTTTATAAGATCTACTGTTGTTAATCTTACTATTTTAATGTACTCTATAAGCTTAGTTAGCTTACTAGTAATAGTATTATTATATAACTAATTCTTCTATAGTTAAAAAGCCTTTATTATTAACACTAATAGTTAATTTCTTTTTATTATAATAATCTTCTTAGCCTATAAGAAGCACTGCTTGCACTTATATAAAGTTACTAAGATTAATAGAAAATTAAGGGCAATTTTATAAAAAATAAAGTAGTAAAGTTAACTTTACTACTACTACTACTTAAGCAGCTAAGTAAGTAGCTAATCTCTAGTATACTTATCTTTTACTAAGGAATTAAAGTAAAAGTTTAACTTATTAACTTTCTACCTTCTCTTTAAGCTACAACTCTTGTTGTTATAAAAAATAGTAAGGTTAACTAAGAAGGCTTTTTTAAGGCGCTTATTATATAGGTTGCTGTAAGCTACTAAAAGCTTCTTTTATAATATCTCTAGCAACACTGCCTTTTTTTTCTCCTTTTTCTTCTTAAAGGTCTCTAAGTAGTGTGTATAGATCTTCTAGATAAATAACTTTATATACTTATACTAAAATAAGTAGTGTTTCTAGTAGTCTTTAAACTAGAGAAGGCAGAGAGATAGGTTAAGAATAGTTGCTACACAGTAGTAAAAGATCTTTAGCTCTAAAACAAAAGTTTTCTAGTACATAGTAAGCTTCTTAATGCTAAAGGCAACGCTGTTTTTAAAGTAGTTACTGTAGTGCTTATAAAATAAGCGCTCTCTTTATACTCTAAGCTTATTATTAATTACCTGTAAGTATATAATTATTTTGTTAAATGGACTCTCTGCTAGCTAGCACTTAGTATCAGCAAATGCGTACAAGACAGAGAGGTTTGCACAGTGTAAACATTGCACAAAAGTGTTAGGTAACTAGTGTTAATTACTTCTTATTTTTTCTTTATATAAAGAAAAAGGGGGATATCTAGATGTTTGCGCATAGAGGTTTGCGCATAAGCATTATGTAACATAGATACGTGATCCTGCTTGTGCGTGATTGCTTATATCTAAGCTGCGACGCTGCTGCTATGTACAGACACTAGCAACTTTTCTTTTTATCTAAAGAGTTGCCTTTTATACACATTACCTCCTTTTTATTTATATAAGTCTATTTAATTATGTTCTACTTTTACTTTACTTTATTTATTAGAACTTGCCTTAGTAATACTGTGCGTTAGAATAAGCTAGTTATACTATATAAATAGCTTTTTTTTTTATCCTTTACTTTCTAAGCTTTACTATATAATCCCCTAGCTTTTTTCTCTTTTTATATAGTGCTAACAGTAACAGATCTTTATAATAAAAAAAATAAGTGCGTATAATATAAAAAAAATAAAATAAAGAAAAATAGGCCTTATATAAAAGCATTATTAGTCTAGTTAGTCTAAGGCATCTTTGCGCATAGAATCTAGCTAGTCTACAGATGCTTCTATCTAGACAGAGAGGTAGTTAGTTAGGACTAATAATTAAAAAGCCTAGTTTAGTGTTTTTTTATATATACATCTACTAAGTTATTTTTACTATTAATTTACTTTATTTTAGTAATTTCTTTTTTCTTATATAATTTATAAAGTAATATAATATTAATTATAAGTTACTTTTTACTAGTAGTGCTTAGCTTAATAAGGTAATTATATAGAAACTTTAAATCTATGCAGATTACTACTAAAATTAGTAGTAGTTTAAGTGTTTATATAATTTACTATAGAGTTATACTAAAAGTAATTATATTATTAAACTTTTTAACTATTTTATATAGTTTACTAGTAAGAACACTTCTAGTTACTCTTTTACACTTAGTAGAATTCTAGTGTATAATGTTACCTAGTATTTTAAAGTAGTTACTTTACTTTATATAGTTTTTATTACTTAATATAATTAAAAATTTTAGCTATAAGCTAAAGTTTTTATTATTAGTAAATAATTTATTTATAAAGATAAATAGCTTTGCATAATTAAGCTATAATAGTAAAAAGGTAAAACTATGCTTACTATTATTTATCTACTATTAAATTTATGTGTTAAGTGTGTTAATGTTATTATGTAAAAAGTTTATAGTTTATGTAGTAATAGATAAGTTAAATGCTGCCTCTAGTTAACATATAGATGTAATATATACCCCTTTTACATATTACTTAATATATTATTATGCAGCATTTTTATTTTTTAAGTTAATTATATAAAGGTAGCTTACTTATTCTTTCTAAGTAAAAACTACTATGTTATGCATAAGTTTAATTCTTCTACTATTAAACTTAATAGGCTACTTTTTTACTAAAATAGTCTTACTTTTTATATAAAACTTTACTTTTTATAGTTTTTTTTTTCTTTTTATATAAAATTTTTTATTATAATACTTAAAGTGTTGTCTATTTATAAGCTAGTAATACTAAAGGTGTGCTCTTCTTTATTAGTAATTAAAAAGTAAAAGTTGTATAAAAAGATGTGCATGCGCAGCTTTTTTTTATAGTAGTTATAATATGTTTTAAACTAATATAGTCCTAATTTAGTAGCTTTATATAAGGGTTATATAACCTAGAGTATTATATTTAGTAAAAAGCTCTAGCGCATCTTCTTTAGTAGCTTTGTGTACAGTGTGCGCATAAGCTTATCTATTAATTAAATGTATACTTATATAATATTATATAGTTTAAAATGCATTTTATATATAGCTTTTAAGCTTACTTTTATAGCTAAAAGTAGTCTCTAGCTTATTCTCTAAATAGTTAGTAACTAGGTAAGAATTTCTCTCTTCTTTTTATCTAAGTAGCTAGTAAACACTAGGCAGGATTTTTTATATAGTTAAGTTATTTTACCTTTTACTTTTTATATAAAGCAAAGGTTAAAAATCTAACTTTTATGCTTTATTAAGTTATATACTATAACTTTAAAAGTGCTATTAGTAATTAAAGTGTTTATCTTTATGTAGTTTAATTTCTTAAATAGTTTTTTAAGTATAGTAATTATACTATTTATATAAAGCTTAATAAATAAGGCCTAATTATTTTTTTTCTTTTAAGTTAGAAATACTTAGTCTAGACTTTATGTAAGTTTTTTTTACTTTTTACTTCTTTTAGTATCTATATCTTCTCTTTACACTAGTGCAGCATTACTATTTTAAGAGGCTTAGTCTGTAGTAGGCTTTAGTTCTCCCTTTATAATATTTTTATAAAGCTGTTTTCTTTTTCTTTTCTTTAAAAGATCTTTTTATATAGGAATTAGTTTATCTAAGTTATTTATTATAGGTAAGTTGTTTT